CTTTAGCTTTAGTTGATATGTTAAATGAGACATAATGGACACTGTTTTTCAACATCCACATTTTTAGGGGAATATGAATAGGACAGTAACCATAACAGAAATACTACAGAATAAAGAAACATCTCCATCAGAATTGTTTCCCCTTTTCCACTTTATGAAACAGTATTCTTACCATTTTTCATAAGAGACTTGTATCTTAAACCAAAGTAACTGCTTTTCATTCTTTTGCTACCAGAGTTACTTAAAATAATCATTTACTAATTAAATTATATGTTCCTCTACTAGAAACTAAACAGAAAATATTCTTATCACGCAGACTTACAAAAGGCATATACTTCCATAAAAAAGGGACAGAAATTCAAATACAAAACGGGAAACATTCCTTTTTTTCCTGTGTGTGTGTGTGTGCATGTGTAATCTAAATAGCATCGTCCAAGACTTTCATGATCATTTCTACCTCTCAGAGGAATGACAGACACAAGGTTTCTTATCGTGGCTTTCTACTACCTCCAAGGGGGCTCATGGATATAAATCAGGGGTTCATAAACTTGGAAAAATACATATTTCTAAGTGAGAGACAGCACTTTAACTATAAATGTGGGCAAACTAGGGTCATACTGCAGTACCTGTTACTTTGACATTAACAGTAATCATAGATTTTTTATAAGCATATCATAGTTACAGGTATCTGAGGTTATTATCTATATTTATCCCTGTTTTGAAATTATGGTAGTTATTAGAAGTACCTTAAGATACAAGTAATATCACAGGACATATTCTATTTCAAAATTCATTTTAAAATATTTTGGTGAATAAGTTTCAATATAATTGGCTTCTTTTTCCTTCTCTTCATATTTTGTGCATTCTAAGAAAGGGTTCATAGGTTTAAGCAGATGTCCCAAGGAGTCCATGACATTTAAAGAAACCCTGCAGAACTTGGTAAAAATGCACTTCCTGTTGCAAATTAGCCCTGAGGATCCCACTGTCTTGAATTATTCCATCCAGAATAGTTCTCAGTCCTGCCACTTGATTAGTGCCTTTTGTATTCTCTACACTGGAAATGTGGCTACTGAGATGATAGAAAGACTCATGTCTCTCTGAATGAACCTCAGTGTGTCAAAAATGTCATGTCATATGATCAGTGTGGCTCTCTTTAAACTGAGTAGACCACATTATTGATCAGGAACATGGCTGAAATGAACAGATTAGCTACATCACACTGATTATATTGCTGCATAAACCAAACTCCTCCAAAAATGAGAAAAGACAGTTGAAAGTAAAATTTTTCAGCTTATTAGCTAAATTCCTATAGATGGTATAGATTTATTTGGTAAGAATAGGCAGATGTTTGGCTCAGTGGTTCTTTTCAAAAACTGGAAGGCCTGTATTTACAACTTCTTTAATCAAACTAATGAAGTGATAGGAAATATTACCATGATTTGCTTAGGAAAAAGATAATGGTTATTACAACCAAACTGAAATGAAATAATATCAGTGCAAGTTTTTACAAGAACTCATGATAAATCTCTTTTTAATATGCAGAGGCTTTTTAATCAAGCATATGGGAAGCAATATAGTTATGTTGACAAGAAGAATTTCCTTATTTCCCCAAGACTAAAAACGTTTCCTTATGATAATAGATATGCAGCCAGAAAAATGTGGTGATGATCTATTGTAGTCAACAGTAAAACAGAGGGACCGAAAACAAAAACAAAATCCCATTTTCACAGTTGCTTAGCATTTTCAGAAGCTTCAGCTTTATTTCTCAATGCCAAATCTAAAAAGCTAGGAAATCAGAAGTCAAATTTCCTATATATCCTTACATGGAGGATAAAAATATATAGGCAATAACTTCAAGTAAATCCAATAAAACTCCCATTCATTTTGCTTAAAACACTCCTATTAGTCTTGCTTAAAAACTTCCTTTGACTGGAAAAGATTATTTTAGACAAGCTAATATTTTTTTTCAAATTTTATGTGTGTCTACTCCATTAAATGCTTCCCAACATGCTCACAGAACTGTATGCAATCTTAAGAAAATCCAAAGATTTATTTCCCTGAATTTCTTCTTTAATAGTACCCCCTATTTCCCTTATTTCTCAGCCTTTTTTACTTTCTAGATTGCTGTCTGCTTTCTGTGTGGCCCCACAGATTACTTTGCCCTAGGCTGGGGCTACATGTCACAGCTCGGTGGCCACACATACCCCACTCCACATCCCCTTAACAGGGGTATTTAATGAAGGGTTTGCAACACTCTGAGGCGTTATCTAATGGAAGCTACTCTTAGGCCATTCAACCTATTAGTGAAAAGACTGAGCCTGCACAATTTCATTGCATCTTAAATTCTCTCTGAAAATAACAAGCTAAGGAAATCATACATTGTAAACTAACTGCGATTAAATTATGCCTATCTAATTTAAGTTCGAAGAAGATTTTTCTTGGAGATAGTTATTTGAAATTGATCCTCCCAAATCCTCTTTATTTAATAAAGTTAGTTAAAACTCAATTTTTCAGAAATCCAGATTCACATTTGATGTTCAAACTCAAGGTCAAGTAAAATAAAAACTCACTTGTTTAGCTTAACACTGTGTGTGCGTGTGTGTGTGTGTGTGTTCCATATTGAGCACAAATACCATGTCTACTAAACAACAAAAGATCAGATGGAAAGTGAGGGCAAATAATTAATAAGAAACTTCTAACAAAGTTATCATAACCCACAATTTACCACCACTTCCAAAATGGATTATATCATTAGTGACTCACAGCAGGCCAGAAGTACAAAACTCTCAAGTGGAATAATCTTGAAATAGCTGATAAAACAAGCTGTGAAGCTGAGAAACAGTTTAGCACTTATGTGTTCATACTTCACTGGTGCTTGCTTTAATAAGACATCCAGGAGCTTCTATTTCAAAGTCAAGGATCTCAGTGTGTTTAAAGTAGGCAGACATTTTGGAGTCCAGAAAACTAGCTAAGTATCCTGCCTGTCTCTTCCAATTATAAACTATATCATCCAGGTCAAGTCGATGAACCTCTTGGAATTTCCATTTCCCATCCATGAAATGGGATTATTACCTGACATGCCAACTCACGTGCTGTTTTGAAATTCATTTGAGATGTAGTACATAAAACCATTTTAAAATTGAAAGCATGCAAATTTATAATGTAGTTATTATACATATTATGTTTCAAATTACAGGGAAGTGGTGGGAGGCAGATGGAATTGAGGACCAGTTCCTAGAATAGCAGGTAGTGTTAACCCCTTCCCATCCACCCTGTGAATGATTATTTTATAACTTGATAAGGAGTGGTTGAGGTCCCTCTGCTTAGGGAAGTTTGTTCAGAAGACTCTTTCCATGCTTTCTATGTAGTTGTTCAGTCTGAAGAAAAATATAACTTTCATCACTTTTTTCAGCCAGGAGAAGGAAATTAACATGGCCGATAGGGCCAGACAGATTCTATGTGCTTTAGAGATCATTTCAATCATTGACAACCCAACAGTTGAGAAAAGTGAGGCTGAGAAAGTTAAATCAACTACCCAAGGCACGGCTACTGCTTGTTTGATTTTAGAGCTGACTAAAGCCTTCTGAATCCAGAGCTTTTCCATCAGACTACACAAGTTGCTACAAAAGCTTCATTTGTTAAATCAAACCTTTCTTCCTAGTATTGATGCTGGATATTTTCATTTTGGAATTTTATTATTGGGTCATTTTCCTATTTATTAATTTCAGGGTAATATAAAATGAAATCACAAGGAAAATGTAATATTCAGATGCTGTTCCAATGCGTTAGCATGCATATTTTTGTATATTTTAGTTCATTTAAATCTCACCAAAATCTTCAAAAGTAGGCATTATTATTATTTATAGGCTAAAGACGAAAGAGGAAGTCTATGACATTAGCCACCATGTTATGCTGCCTCTCTGGCACAGGCAATAGAGTTATAAAAACGATGGATTTATTGTCCAAACTGGGCTCTTAGTAATTAATACTTATTCCAGGCAGCAGGTATAAATCTGAGTCAATCAGATATATGGTCACCATAAACAAAGTGGATAGCAGTCTCCTACCTCCCCTTCATTGGCCGTAGTCTTGGTAAAACTATCAGTTAGACGTATAATCTTTCTGTGACCCAGGTTAAACAATAAAAAGGATGTTTCTGGAATCTGAATCTTGGTCTACCCAAAAGCCAGGTGATGAACTTCATTCATTCCAGAAATTATCCTCCTGCTCCCCAGATCTCTGGACATACTTGAGTTCTTGTACATTTAGATATTCATGTCTTCCTCTTCCTTTGGGTTTTGTATATTACCTCATGTGCTATAAATATGCTTATTTTTTGATTCAGTTAGAAATGGCTTCTCATCCTTGAAACCAAAGGAAAACACAGTTGGTACAAAGACGAACCTAGAGGACTGCTTATGTACCATAAAACCTTATCACCTCCAATTAGCATCTCAAGTCTTTGTAAATCTTAAACAGATTTTGTATGCCAGACCTAGAAGAGCACCTTCAACGCTGGAGCTCTTCTTGGGGTAGGTTGGTGTATTCAGTTCTTAGGGCTGTGGTAACAAATCACCACAAACATGGTGGCTTAAAACAGGCCAAATTTATTCTTTTATGGTTCTGCAGGTCAGAAGCCTGAAATTAGTTTCACTAGGCTAAAGACAAGGTGTCAGAAGTGCTGCAGGCTCTGAGAAGGGAACTCACTGCCTTGCCTTTTCCAGCTTGGAGAGGCTCCTGCAGCCCTTGTCTTGGGATCCCTTCCTCTGTCTTCAAAGTGCACAACTCCAGTCTCTGCTTCCATTAGCACGTGGCCTTCTCCCTGACTCTGACTCCTCCTGCACCCTCCTAAATACCCTTGATCCCGCTGGGCCCACACCCATAACCCAGGATAATCTCTCCATCTCAATGTACTTAAGGACATCTACAGGGTCCCTTTAGCTAGATAAGGTAATAGTCACAGGTTCTGGGGATTGGATGTAGCATTATCATGGGGAGAGGGAAGGGCGTCCTTCAGCCTACTAAAGCTGGTGCCTTAGTGAAACACTATGGGAGTAAAGATGGACTGTCGTTGAAAAAAGCTACCCCCAACAGGGCAAAACATTGCTTTCTCTATATATCCCAAATTATCACTCTATTTATAAAGATTCTTCAAAATTTAAAAAAGTGCATAGTTTTCATAACTTTTTTGTTTTCAATGTCATTTAATGCACTAGAGTTAGGAATTTTAAATAAAACTGATTGGAACTCCTGACGTGGTGGAGCAGATACAGAGTTGGGAGTGAGAAGGGTTTCTTAAAGAGAGTGTCTCCATATATATATGTCCGTGATTTCTTCTTATGAATTCAGTAAGACCCAAATCTGGGGATCCGTTATTGAACATGGTAGGTGCTATGACTTGCTGCCTAGATACTTCAGCCAGGAAAAACAAACAAATGTAGCCAAATTACTTCAAATTGCTTGAGTGCTGCTGGCAAACAGCCCCAGTTGTCAGGCCGGCTTTGAAGACTGCCTGGAGGGAAGAGAGCTGGCTTTCTCAAAGGCTTGCCCCTTCCTAAGGCAACTGCATTCAACAGTTGATCAGTCCAGGGGTGTGGTGATCTGGCCCACTTGTCCAAATCTAGGACCATTCTGAAGGTGCAGACTATCCTCAAAACTCCCCATAAGATTGCCTGAAGCTTCAGTTCAGACTGCATCCCAGCTCAGCCCAGTGATGTGCTGGTGCTCCCTAACAGTACCAGCTCACAAGACCTGATCTGTGCATCAACTATCCTCTACTTCATATCCAGGGATGTAAGTGGGTACCTTAAAATCTGTCACAGTGAGAGTACTTACACCATGGGAAAGTACAAACCATATAAATCAGGGCTTTAAAAAAATCACTATTATTTCAGAGACCTCCATAGTAAACATTTATCAGCAAATAGGTGGAATTTTCCATCTGCACAATCCTGCTTCCCTCTCTTCTTTCCTAAAGATATGAATCCTAAGAGCACTCCCTAATAAACCTACTGTAAGATAAACTCCATCCTATGGAAACTAATCCATAACACTTAAGATGCTACAAATATATTTATTTTCATCAGCTTCTAAAACGATTTTGAACATATGACCCATCTTCAATTAAGTCAAGACTCCAAAAAGTTATATTTTCAAAACCACAAAATAGTGCAAAGAACTTTTTTTGAATTATGTGAGATTGTTATATCATTCATTAAGATAATGAATCATCCACCTCAATATTTTAGAATTTTCCACAAATAAGGATATCCTTTTATGAACTATTATACAACAGTTAAAATGAAGAAATTATAATTGATCCATTACTACCACTTAATCCTCAGACACTATTCAAATTTCACCAATTGTTCTAATAATGCTGTTAGGGCAAAAGGCTCAAGTTTAAAATCATGAGTTCCATATGATTGTTATGTCTCATTAGGGTCTTAAGACTCAGGCTATCCTTGACTTCTATGCCCTTGACATTTTGAGGTTTATAGGCCAGTTTTTGTTGTTGCTGTTGCTGTTGAATGTCCATCAGTTTGGACTGTTTAATGTCCCTCATAATTAGATTCAAATTATGCATCCCTGGCAGGAACATTGCCTGACAGCTGCTGCACACTCTCAGGTGGGGCAAGATTTTGACTCATCCCATTGCTGACGGTGTTCACTTTCATCATTTAAGACAGTGCCATCTATTTCCCCTTTGTAATTAATAAGGGTCTTTGTATGGAGGACCATTGAAACTGTTTAGATGTCCTACTGCTCATCAGAATATCTACTTACATATTCATTTATTCATAACAGTATAGACTCATGGAATCTGATTTTATTCATTAGATTACAGTTTATTCATATTGTTATTTATTTTGATGTCAAATCTGCCCCAAGTTTGGGTAGTTGGAGCCCCTTCTCCTTGACTTCTGAGCCCCGCCATCATTCTGTATCCACTCCCTTGCTCTCAGGTACAGCAAAACGGTCTAAACTCAACTTATGCTTTCCCTGACCCAGGCCAGCATTCAGACATTTTTCTCTAAGGAGCTCTAATTCCTTTTGGATGTATTAAGAAATTCAATATATGAGTGCTAGATATGCTGACTGTTACTGGATGTCATTGCTTCCAAGCCCACTCAGTGGATAGCCGTAGGGGTGTGTGTGTGTGTGTGTGTGTATACACACATGCACACTTACCTTTTAAAATTTGTTTTTATCTCTCTTTTCCTCTATATTGAAATTCAGAAATTAACACTGACATCTCCAGTTCCATTCCAGTTTCACAGGGTTCATTCTAGATTTTCCCTTTCCATCTTTTTAACCTCCCTTTTTTTGAAGTAAGTAGCCTGATTTATTTGATCAGTCCCACTGTATGCAGCCAGTCTCCCATCACCTCTGTCATCTTCTCCCCCATACACGTGACGTCTGAAACTCAGCACAGGATGCCAGCTTCCTTCTTATCCTGCCTATGTCTGACATGCAGCTCTGGATAACCCTGCCACCCAGAAGCCCCCCTCACCTTACCTAGGGTCCAACATCCTGCCCTGAGCCAGCCCCTGCCTGGAAACCTACTCACCCTACGTGAACCCCTCCTTTCGAATGCCATTTCTAATACATTGAGGTCCTGTGCGCCTGACTTGGCTATGAAATCTAAGACTGGCTGGTCCTCCATATGAAAGCACTCTTCGCCTCACTCAGCCTCTAATAACCACCCTTGGTAGATCTCTTAGGAAGATGCCTTCCCGGCACTGTTTGCATTCTGAGATGCCCTGCCAGGCCATCTCCCATGGGATTGCCATCTGGACTCACACAGGGTCTGATACCCCATCCGAGCATGCCTTGCCACAGAGCCTCTCTCCTCACTCTGTTTGGGCTCTGATGCCCTATGGTTGCCCTTCTACTCTAGAGGCTCTGACACCCAGAGCCACACGTGGACACTGTCCTCATCCTGCATGGGCTCTGACTCTCCGATTGGCTGACCACAGCCTTCCTTAATGGCTTTCAGACCAAAATGTTTAGGAAGAGAAGGAGAGTGAGCAGGACAGGAGAAAGAGAAAAGCCTTTTGCTTTAGTTTGAATGCAAAGGAGAAGTGTGCTGTTGTGATCACTCCCAAAAGCTCATTCAAAGAAAAGGTTGCCTTTTCTTTTCAACTGTGCAGACATTTAAACTAATTCTTCAAAGTTGCTTAATCATCAAAAGCACAGTTAATGCTAAAATTCCTCTTTCAGCCCTTGAAAAATCTAATTTTTGAAAGTGCTGTATGTGTGTTTTAGAGAAACAGATCAATTGATCATGCTACGTTTTCTAATATACCAGGTGTGTCTCATGTATGTTTCTCATTTTCTCGGCTAGAAAGTAAACCCCACAGTGGCAGGGAATATGTCTAACTCATATTTGCAGTCACAGGATTGGCACAGTTTCTGGTACCTGGCAGGCACTAATAAACATCTATTTAGTGGAGGAATTAGTTGAACTTTTGGTATGTTCTGCACCAAAGAATGCGCAGCCACTCCAGCTACAGTATGTCAAGTGGAAAACTACCCCAGTGATCACAGCCACGGCGGCCTGGGTGTTAACATGGCCCACGGCAGTGAGATGAAGAGTGGAACACTTATGTATTTAAAGAATGTGGGTTGAGACAGAGCACGGTCCTTTTTCCAAAGTGATTTGGGGAAGCTCAGCTAGCCACTATAAGTGATGATGGTGACACTAACTCATCTGATGTATTGTGTAGTAAATGTAATAAAACGTGTGAGTGAAAAATATAAGTCATAACAATGGTCATAATCACTGTATGTAAGGGTCACTATAAACACAATAAAGGCAGAGTGAAACCTTGTTCACTTATTTAAAGGTGGCACTAAAGGAAAATGTTTATCACTATAATTTCATAAAGATAAAACTAATAATCTGTCAATAAATATTTTTGGTTGCTGTTTTCAAGCATAGAGAGGGACCTTGTGCGACTTAACTCTATCTCTTTTGCTAACGATGCTCTTTGTAAGACACAAATATTCCACGCATATATAGAAAATAAATGAATATGCTTTATTAGGGAGGCCCTATCTCTTGTCTACCCCCAGATCATCAAGAATAAATACGAAAATGCAGTAGTCATGTGGCCCCAGCCAGGCTCTCCCAGAAAGAGGCTGCCAAAGCCGGGCGACAGTTAAGACGTGTGTATCTCGGGTAACCCTCAGGTCTTTCAGCCTCCGGTTTTCGGGCTGCAGTTTTGTGACACAGTCTGTTAAGCACATACTGGAAGCAATTTACTTCCGTTAAAATCACTCACAGCTGAGCTGATTCTCCGATGACGGGAACTGTTTACAAAAGGGACTACATGTCTTTTTAGAAGTTATGTTATTTTGGAATAGTACATGGCACACAAATGTAACAGTTAAATAGACATTTCCCCACAAATCCACATTGGTGATTCTTCTACCAATAAAATTTTATTTTTTACTTGAATTCTAGGCATATGACCATTTTTCTTACTCAACTCCCATTGTTTGTTTGTTTTGGTTTGGTTATTTATTTGTTTTGATAGAGTATTATGTTAGAATGCAAAAATAACATTTTTCTAAAGAACAGAACACTTGAATCTGTTATGTTGCTCAGCATTATCTTTTGTTACCTGATCCTCTTGACTATAACAAGGGGTTACAACAAAACACTGAAAAAACTTTCTTCCAGGTGTTACTTGCTCTTGCACAATTTTTACTGTCAGAGGTAGGAAAAATTTAAAGGTCTTATCTCATCCTATATTCCCTAAGTTCTTGGCATGGGGTTGTCCAATTTTTCCTTACTCCCCAGTGCTACTCGTCTCATTATTTATCCACCCCCCCCTGGCTTTCTTTATTTGAAGTCTACACCATCTGTCTCAGACTCCCACTTACTCATTGCTGTTGTTCCCTTTGGTCCCCACTCCCACCACGATGCATATCAATTCTGGACTCTTTAAAATGACAGTACTGTAGGACTCACATTCATTTTTCCTTCTGCTCCAGAGTCCACTA